TGAAAAGAAAAATTTTTACCTTTGAGAAAATTGAAGTCTACATTTCAAAATTCTTAAGCAATTCCTGAAAGACATACATTGAAAAAATTACAAAAAAAAAAAAAAAAAAAAAAAAAAAGGTTTTTTTTTTTTACATAGTAACCCTTTAATATTGGGTTTTCTAAGATATGCCCCCTATTTTAGAACATTTCGCATTGTAACCCTGTAGTTGCTACACTGTCTTCATGGTAACATTGTCGTTAACGGGGTTACGGTTTTATTTTACCAACGTTGAAATTGATTTGTTGGTTTTGGTGAGAATATTCATCCTCTTATTTAAGTCGTTTAGAGGGAAACCAACAGTAAAAGAGAACATTGTGCTAATAGATACATCCTTCGGCAACTAACTACTACAAACCCCAAAATCAACCAGACAACCACAATTAAAAAAAAAGAAAACCATGGCTAACAATACCAACCTTTAGAAAAAGTGCCTCTTATAGCACCTAAACATATGGATGGGAAATCTAAGTATAACAACTGTAGCTAGGGGTGTGCACCGGTCCATAACTGGACCGAGACCGGAATGAACCTATTGGCAGGACCGGAGACCGGACCGGTATTAACCTTATTTATTTGTTTATTTCAAAAGTCAAATTGATTCACTTAAATAGGTATAGAGGGAGCACTTTATTCACCTTTTTCTAACACCCACTAAACACATCAACCCTCTCTCCAATTGCCTTACTTTGTGTAAACAAATGTAGTATATAACAATTATATGTTATGCATTATGGCAATAAAGAAAAAATCAAAGATAAATATGGATAATTGCCTATTAGAAATTGAATTTTGAAATCGGATTCACAAATTAACAAATAAATAAGGACAATTAAAATAAATTTGAAATAAACAAATTTAAATTAACCGGAAAACCAGTCCTGGTTCTGGTCTGGACCGGATAATTCTAGTCCGATTTTGACCCTGTTGGACCTTTTTTATTTAAAAAAAAAAATATATATATAGATCTCACATAAGCGCAGCTACCTTATATCCCAAAGTCTCCAAACAAAAAGCAAAGTTACAATTTCGCAGTTTCAAAAATATAAAATGAAATCAAATGCAGTATTTTAACATATACCAAAATGTTAATAAAATTTCTATAGGTATTTTTTTTCCATTTTTATTTCCCTTCTACCTTAAATTAAAATTAATAATAAAAAAAAAAATCACCTCCATTTCCATTGCCCAACCACCACCTGACCACCCTCATCCTTCAGCCATCCACCAACCAGACCCACCTATAACCTCCACCACACCAATTCCTATCTTCCTACCGCATCACCACACAATACTGCGGTAGTTGCAAAAATCGAACGAGCAACAGTGCCGCCAGCCAACAACAACCAAATTAATCCGACCGACGTCTTGTTCCGAGACTTCCGGCCGACTGAAGGCAACTGGTTCCGGTGGTGGTTAAAAAACCCCCAAATTAATCGAAGCAACAACTGAAGGCAACTGGTTCCGGTGGTGGTTTCAAAGGAACAACTGAAACCCGAACTTGACCTTAAGTAAACTGATGAACTTGGTATGCCACACCCAAAGTTCCAAACTTGTAGCAGCGAAAGCCGCAAAGCAGCTCATAAAACTCAACTCTCAATTGTCCAAACTTACCCGCTCAAATCGTCACCATGATTGTCTCTCTCTTTTCCTGCAAATCCATTCATCTGATTGCTTAACCCCAGACCATTATTCTCTCTCTTCCGCTCTCACTGCTTCTGCCAACATACCCAACTCCAGATTTGGAAACCAGCTTCATGCCCATGCCATTTTCACTGGACTTAAAGCTTTTCCCCATGTTTCAAACACTCTCCTTTCACTCTATGCCAAAACTGAGGATTTGGGTTCTGTTAAAACTGTCTTTTCTGAATTGGGTACCCCTGATAGTTACTCTTGGACTACTTTGTTATCGGCATATGCTAAGTTGGGTCAGGTTGATTATGCATGCCAACTGCTTGATGAAATGCCTCTGAGAAATGTTGCGCCTTGGAATGCTGTAATTACTGGTTGTTCTGAAAATGGGTATGATGATATTGCATTCGAAATGTTTAGGAGAATGCATATGCTGGGTGTGAGGCATGACAATTACACTTTTGCTTGCGTTCTTAGCTTGTGTTATGTTATCGAATTACACGGCTTTGGGAAGCAAGTGCATTCGTTGGTTTTTAAGAGTGGGTTTTTGGGGTGGAGCTCGGTGGTAAATTCTTTGCTTACAATGTATTTTAACTCTTGGAACTCCATTGATGCTTGTAAAGTTTTTGAAAATGCAGATGAGATGGTTCGTGATGTAATTACTTATAATGCAATGATCAATGGGTTAGCAAGTCTTAAGAGAAAGGAAGAGTCTTTGATAATATTCCAAGAAATGTTAGAGGCTCGGTTAAGACCAACTAAATTAACTTTTGTGAGCCTTATGGGCTCGGGTTTGGTTCTCGACATGTGCCTCCAACTACATGCTCAGGCTGTAAAGACAGGTTACGAACCTTGCACAGCCGTCAGCAATGCTGCCATGTTCATGTATGCTGAGCATGGGCTATTAGATTCTGTTAGAAAAATATTTGATAATTTAGAAGTGAAGGATGTTGTTTCCTGGAACACGATGATAGCTGGATATGCTCATAACAATGATATGCAATTAGCAATCTTAGCTTACATGGAGATGCAAAGGATCGGGTTTGTTCCAGATGAGTATACAATCGGAGCCCTCTTAGCTAGCTCAGGTAGCTTAGAAATTGTCCAGATGATCTATGCCCTTGTGCTAAAAAATGGGCTTAGTCTAACAAGTGAAGTTATTAACGCTTTGGTGTCTGCATGCTCTAAGCAAGGTGACATTGATATGGCCTATCAAATATTCTGCAGCATGCACTTCAAGAATCTGATTACCTGGAATGCAATTATTTCGGGGTTCTTGTTAAATGGATATCCTGTGCAGGCTCTTGAACTGTTTCTTCAGCTGCAGAAATTTAAAATCAGACCAGATGTATACACTCTAACTATTGTATTGAGCATCTGTTCCAGTGTTTCAGCCTTAAGTCATGGAAAGCAGGTCCATTGCTACATTCTAAGATGTCTATTTCTAAACGAGATCTCCTTAGGAAATGGCCTCATTACCATGTATGCAAAATGTGGGCTTCTGGATTGGTCTGTCAAGGTATTTAAATGCATGAGCACAAAGAACATTGTGAGTTGGAATGCCATCATATCTGCATTAGCACAATATGGCGAAGGGAAACAAGCTGTTTGGTACTTCACATTGAAGCCACCTTTACTGCTGTTTTGTCTGCCTGTTGCCGTACTGGTCTAATTAACGATGGCATTCGCATATTTAATGCAATGATCAATGATTATGGATTGGAACCTGGAGAAGATCACTTTTCTTGCCTTGTAGACCTTTTAGGGCGAGCTGGATACATTGATGAGATGGAGAGACTAATTGAGAGAAAGGATTACAAGGCTAATCCCAATATTTGGTGGACTCTGTTTAGTGCATGTGCAGTCTATGGCAACATGAGGCTTGGAAGGATTGTTGCTGGGTTACTTCTTCAAACTGAGAAAAACAACCCAGCAGTTTATGTATTGCTGTCAAATATTCATGCAAACGCTGGACAATGGGAAGATGCAGCTCAAGTTAGGGAATTGATGAAAAATGTTAGAGTTATAAAGCAACCTGGGTGCAGTTGGATCAAGCCACAACAATGTTAAAAAATCAATTTGACAAAAAGATACTGTTTTTGAGCTAAGCATTTAGAAAGCCCAAAGTCACCCTTCATATGAAATGAAGTACATGTAATTAATTACACTATCTTCTAACTTGGTTAGTGTCACCAGTTGCAAATCATTACAAAAACAAATCATACATAGATCAACCAAAATATTATTTTACCACAACAAGCACATAAATTTAAATTCCATCCATACTAATCATAATATAAATGTGCAAAACATTTTTGAATATAACAAATGCAACTCCAAAGCAATCATCAATCAAGCATAGCATCACAGATCTAACCAACTAAGAAAATAAAAGAATCAAATTATAATCTATATAGATTCGCCCTTGATTAATCATAACCATATAAAAATGCAACAATAAATAATAAATAAACATATTTTAGAGCAATTACAGATCCATAGAATAATAATAATATAAAAAAAATCAATTCCGCAAATAATGAAGAACCCAGTTTCCCAAATTGCTAATCACAACTAAAGAAATAGAAATTGCAAGAAATTATGGTGTCTGAGATTACCACATTAACCAAAAGAACAATTGAATAGTTTGAAGAAGTTGGGAATCCAGATCCACTTAAAAATTTCAGAATTTGCAAGTATTAATTTTTTGGGTATTTGATTTAGAATCTAGATTTTGAGTTTGGTATTTTAGAAAATGTGAAAAAAGTATGAGATAGTGAAGAAAGAGCTTTATAAAGAGGAGAGGGAGAGGGAGGAAAAGAGGGGAAAACAGAGTGATAGAGAGCGTTTATTGTATGGAGTGCATATCAGCGCATAGCACTTATTGACAAACAAAGTGTATAGGAGGGTAGAAACGTAATTTACCAGGCATTAGAAAACTTGAATATTCCACTTAACTGTGCTAGTGGTACATTTAATTCTCCGAAAATGTACCACTGAAATCACATTGGTACATTTAATCAAAGTGGTACGTACGTTTTGTACTTTGAATTGTACCGCTAGAAAACCAGTGCCATCCTATACACTTTCTAAGCACATAGATGTTATGCGCTAATACTTATTCTATTGTATGAAAGGTGGAAAGAGAAGAAGAGAGTGAAGATCTTATAATACGTTGTGGGGCGCAGAATAAGCTACTGTTAAGGCTGTTTATTTAACATTTGCACCTTTCGTTCTCACTCACTCCTCACACTCACTGCCCACTTGCTGCTGCTGCTTTCAAGTGCTGTGTGTTAAGTGTCGGCGTTGGTGGATTAGCCTAAACCCAAACCCAACTTGATTAAATAAATGTCATATAACTTTATAAATAAAGAACAAATTACAATCTAAGAGAGCTAACACAATAAAATTAAGTATAAATAAACACCTAGCTTTTATTCAAAAGAAGACGAGGAAAAAAAAAAAAAAAAAACCCTAGCTAAACACACAAACATCAAAAGAAAGACCTTATAAACTGTGGCTGAGCCGATACACCCAAACAAACCCACATACGGGGTATGCCACTGACCTGTAGAGGAAACCCGGAGTGTAGGAATAAACCAGAGAAGCCTTGCAACATACCAATTACCACAGACCCAAAATTGACAGAAAGTAACCACGAGACATTCACCTGACCAGCTGAACTTATAGATTATGGACCTAAGAGTAAAAACTAGAAAAGGGGCCTAAGACAGCTTGATTTGATCAACTCAGCCTTGGGATGCATCATCTTCAACTTCTTAGACAAATCTTTTATATTCGGTTTCTTGAACTCCCAAAGCAAGTTTGGATGTAAAATCACCTGGTCCGGCGAGGGGAGACAGCTAAGTATTGAGTAAATAACTTCTGCTTCACCCTTGCTTCTCCCGCAAAAGTTCAATAGTTCGATCACCTTGAGTTGGCTGTGAAGACACTCTGAGCTTCTTTTGGTCCAGCAACCCTTGTATTGACCAGCATCATATTCTCGAGAAATCTGGTTCAAATGAGATGAGAACTGTCACTAGTTTTCTATTACCCGAAAATGTGAGAAAAAACACTTGCTACATTAAGAGTTTCACCGGAAACCCTGCCAGCAGATAAATTGTCTGGATACATCATCAACATTGAACTGTCAACAATAAAAGTTCCTAAGGTAAATATGAATATGAAGTTCCAGTTCTTTCCACAATGCCCAACACTTGTGAGTTTGAACAGCTAAACGAGGCATGGTCAACTGAATGTTTATACGAGACATACCACTTCAAGGGTGGATGTGTTCAACAGGCAGCCTTACAGTTGAACACAAATGCATGAAGCAGAACATTAGTTAACAGATCTTATATTTTGCAGTGATATGAACATGATACTACATGTAATGTATAGGTTCTGCAATTTAATGTTCCAATTCACCTCATAGAAGGAAAAAGTGATAGTGAGGGAGATTGAGAAAGAAAATGAAACAATAAACTGTGTCCAAACAAAATTGCAGCAATGAACTACCAACCAATAAGATTGAGAATTCATCATGTACGAAGTATGAACATTAAGCGTTTACCCTACTATTATCCAAGGGATGCTAATGACAATTTTAATTTGGTTTCCTTCTAGTGAATTGATAAGTTGGATAAGTGATTGTCTAAACAGTTCATTCTGAGGTCGTGGGCTCAAATCCATAATATCCATTGTCCAACTTTCAGTATTCCGTATTTCCCTTTATATATACATTGAAAAAAGAGATATTTGTATTGTGACATGTCGTGAAAGGTAACAAGGGGCAACATGGTATATAGGCATCAGAGTCAACACCAATTAAAGTAGCATAGATATGTCAGTAAAATATAAATAGTTCAATTTATACAAACTCACCGAAAATGAAAGTCTTGTAAGCAGTGGACATTTCCTTGGTAACGCAGCAAAGAAGTTACAAATGTATTCTACACTGTTTATGCCCAAGTCCAACTCCAATACTCTTAGATTTTCTAAAATAGGTAGTTCAGGTACCACTTCATCACTCTGCAAATAGAAACAACATTGAGAAAGTGAAAATTCCAAACTTCCAAAGTCAAGAACCTAAAAGTTTCTCATTTAAACGCTCCCCTTTTTTTTTTTCTATGATTTTTAGAAATTCCAAGGGACACTAAAGTTTTCATTAATTAAAGTCATACGACACCTACAATCGACAATTAAAGACAAAGAGAACATTTTTAGCAAAATCAAACAAGAGTTAACCTAGGGCGGGCTAAGATCTTTAAATACATAGATATAACAATTCGACACATTCTCGATTCAATGTCTCATAAAACTTTAAACCAGCTTCCAATTCACATTCTAGCAAACAACAAAGGCAGCAATGATACTGTAAAACTTTTATCAAAAATCAATTTTCCTTTCATAATTTGTTGCATTAAGGGTAAAGAAAAGGTGAAAACAATCATATTTACAAGGGCTGAAGTAATTACATCAAACATTCCGCAAACAGAAGGTTACCATCCTAGTCAGTTTGAAACAAAAGAAACACATCACTATTACCAAGTACACCAAAGAACGAAAGGATTTTAGGGAAGAGAAATAGAATGACTCTTAAGATGGGTTTTCTTCCTGATGTTTATAATTATATACTAGATCATGGAGAGTTAAAATCAGTGGATGGGTTTGAAGTTCTTTGCCAGTTCCCCATTCCATATTTAGCATCACTATATAGGATGTTTCATCATTAAGTTGGAAAGTTTCTATAAGTCCATCACTAAGTTATTGTTAGATTAAGTGCAGAAGGCCATGATGTAGATTCTTCAAATCAAGGGATGGAAGGTATATGAATGATTTTATTCAGGTAAGCTTCATCACTACAAATTTCAAATCCAATGACTGTGCCTTAAACAAAGAATATTGAAAAGACCAAGATGAATTTAATGGGATTTGAAAAGCAGTCTTGTGATCAGCAATCTTCAGAAAAATATTGTTTTCGAAAAGCACTGTCTCAGTCATTGGGCTCAGACTTCAAAGGCTTAAGGATACAAGGTATTTTCAAAAGCGTCGTATAGCCAAGATAATAGAGAACATTACACTCATACTCAGTATGAAGGTACTCTCAACTCATTTTGAAATAGAAAAGGAGTAAGAGACCACTTCCAATCTCATCTGCCTCCCAGTTCCACATGACAATAATATCTGTGAAAAAATTTCCAAAAATATTTACCACGGGAGACTCATTCAATGAAACCATACATCACTAAACAATCTTTATGGAGCTGGGCACATTTCATGACACCGCCGAATAAATTTACCAACCAACCAACCAAAATGCACATTGTTAAGCAAGGCAACAACTTGAGGCAATTTGATTATCTTCTGTACCCACAGTTTTGATGGTAATAACAAAAACATAAAATGAAGAAATGCTTGTGCTTTAAAGTGAAGATGCATTACCATCAACAGTTTCAACACTAAATACCCATCCCAAATCACAAAATCTTTGTTTTCAGGTGTATCTTTAATATGTTTATTTTTGGGGTTTTACGCAGGTACCAACTTCTACTTCATTCAATTCTTTGTGTTACCTTTTACCATGCACTTTACCCTCATATCCCACCCATGTTCTCTTAATTTGATCCATCTATCTATCTCTTACACTCACCAACCTTCTTACGTTATCTCTCTTTTACTATTTTTTTCTTACAGCCAGTCACTTACAGTTACTAAGGAACAACAGTCTACAACAAGTAGGCGAAACAAAAAAAAAAAAAAAAAAACACGAAGAGAGTGCAAATATGTTCATCATTCCCTCACACTACTCCTTGTACCATATAAGCCACTAACCCAAAAGTAAGCCATTACAGTAGCCCATTGAAGAAGGTACCAAAATGAAGCTCAACAAAAAGAGCAGCAACAGAAGGAATAAAAAATCAACTACAGTAAACCAAAAGTCCAAAACACACAAAATGAAAATAAGTGAACACTAACCAGGTATTTTTCAGAGCTCCTTATTTCCAGGACAAGCGACTCCACATTTTGAATGTAGCTAGAGTATTTCCCAATGTTTTGGACAAAATAGGAAGCATAAAGACCACGAAGAGAAGTGTTAACTAGCCGTGGGGCTGTCTTGAAAGTTACAGGAATGTCGCGCCCATGATAAGTAAACGACACGATATTGATGGCATGAATCTGTATCCAATTAAGACAGTCACAGCGGATAATCTTCAAGCACTTGAGTTGGGGTAAGGGGCCAGGGACTTTCAGCCTTAGAAGGGAACCAGCATGCGCCACATGTAATTCTTCAAGTGCAGAACACTTGAGCAGAACATAATATATAACCTTACTTGTAACCTCTACATATTTCAAAGAGAGTACTGTCAGAGAAGAAAGATTTGATTTAAATTTGCGGAGCAAGGGCTTGGTGATGGAGAAATATCCATGCATTTGATGGCCTTTGAGTGAAAAATCCAGCTTAAGCCTTTTAGCTCTCTTTCCAAGAGCAAATTCCACCCACTTTTCTATATATTTTTCACTGATTGCTCCACATGATTTGACAAACACTTCAAATTCTTCAATAGTTGGACCTTGGTGCAAGCTCAAGACATGATTGACCAATTTTATAAACTCAGACATTTTGACTATATGTGGCCCATTGTCATCGAGTATTTTTGTACGGCTCTGTAAATATATGCGTAAACAATCCTCATAAATAGATGACTCCTCTGAATAATGAAAATTTAAGGTACCAGCTGTGTAAGTCCACATATTTTTCCACCTTCGAGATAAAAGACTAGTCCTTACTGCTTCCTTAAGCCTTAAACGAGACACAATCAAAACCAGTATATCATTTGGCAAATCACTGAGCCTGTCTGCGGACTTGCAGCACTTCCACTGGTACTGTTATTTTCAAACACATACCACATGAGTTCATCAAATATTATCTTCATAAATTTGAAAGTATACATGTAACAGACATTAGTAAGAAGTATCATAAAAAATTGTAAATCAAACTAGAACTAACCGAGCAATACTGCATTTGGCTGTCACACCTCTTCAATACTGGTGTTAAAGGGTTGCTCATATTCTTCCACTCTGAAATCTGGTAGACACCAGAAGTAGAAAAACAATTAGGCAAAAAAATAGTCCCCCAAAAATAAAAATCAAACATTAACCTTCAACCCCAAAACTATCAACCCTTAATCATAAAAATCAAAACTTTTAACAACTCATGCTCTCCGGATAAGCTGAAACAATTTGAATTATATAAATTTCAAATCTTAATCATTAAAATTACAGCTCTTTCCCAGAAAAACAACTTCAAACTTTAATCATAAAAAACAAAACTTTAACAACTCATGCTCTCCGGATTAGCTGAAACAATTTGAATAGTATAAATTTCAAAGCTTAATCATAAAAATTACAGCTCTTTCCCAGAGAAACAACAACTTCAAACTTTCATCATAAAATTACAGCTCTTGACCAGAGCCATGGCAGGAGGGAGTGAAGGTCATCCTAACATTCAAGGCAAATTTGATTCAATTATCAAATTAGGCACGAAAAATCACAGGATTATAGAGAAAAGAGGTCCAATTTCATAGTTTCATCCTAACATTAAAGGCAAATTAAATTCAATTATCAAATAAAAAAATCGCTCATCTTAGTAATTACACGATAATCGACTTTATAATAACACTAAATTGACAGTATTGACAACTAAATCAACGACAAACCCTAAATTGTTTGTGAAATTAAGATACGATAATAACAAAAGGAACATCACCTTACCTCAGAAGCTGCTTCGATGGAGGATAGATATAACAATGGAGAAACCGTGAGAGAGACTCGTAAAGGATTTTGAATTGTGATATTTGTGATGGATAATAATTACATTAAGTGTTCTGGAAAATAAGGGAAATTATACTTTAGACTCCAATATTACTCGTATGTGTTTTTTCTTACATAACCCCTACTTTTTTTTTTTTTTTTAAAGGACAGACTTTAGCAGGAATTTTATTCCAAATAATCTCCTACCTTTTTTTTTTTTTTTTTTTTTTTTTTTAACTGAAAATCTACTACCTAAGGTAATTTTATATTTTTCAAAAAAAAAAGGTAATTTTATATACTTTTATCGTTGTATAAACTAATATTTCCTCCTTTGTAGGATTAGACATATTAAGAAAGAAAAGGTGGTTGTAAATTATTGAAGAAGCTCTTTCAAAAAAAAAAAATTGAAGAGAAGGAGAGAGAAAGTATTGAGAATTAATGTCAAAAATACAAAAATGAAAAAAAAAAAAAAGATGACAAATCATCAAAAAGTACAACCTATAAATAGAAATAGGCTTGTAATTTTAGTTACCCAAAAAGATATATAGATTTCTAATAAAAGGAATGAGGGAGTAATGTTAATTAATTTTATTATTTTAAAACTAAAATGGTAATAAGAAAATAAGAAAATAAGAAGAAGAAGAAGATTGGTAACTTTTAATCTTCTTAAGTCTTTATTCCTTTTCCTAATACATACTCTTTTTTTTTTTTTTTTAATGTTATTTTACGTATTTTAATTTGATGTTTTATTCTGATTTACTGAATGGTGTGGGATGGTAAATGTTTTAAATTTCAAGTTTGTGTTTTCAATTGTAAAGGCATAAAATTTTAGGTTGGTTTCAATTTCAGAAATTAAACATAGAGTTTGTTTGGTGTTACCTATCTCCATTGTATTCGTTTTTAATTTGAGAATATGGAGTATAAGAAGAAAAAGAAGATGGGGAGAGGGTAAGGAGAGAGAGATATATTGACTAGATCCGCCGTAATCGAAAAGAGATAGTGAGATGATTAACTAATAAGATTGAATTGAAGAGGAAAAAGGTGAAATTACTAACAGTTAGATTTTTAATGTTTTGCAAGTTTAAGGTTATCTTAGAAAGCATACTTGTACAAGTGAGTAACTATCTTGTCAACGCTTTGGCTTCAACTACTTTTGCGATTAGTTGGATGAGTCAACTCAAGTCACCTTAATTAGGTCTTCTTTTTGCCTTATTTTTGCTGAATTGAAATTATATATATAACTCCGTATTAAATTATTTTTACTTTATTGAAATTATTTTTAAATAATTTTTTAAGGGATTTTCTAAATGATACCACTAAACTTTTGGAAAATCCAAATGGTACCCTTAATTTATATTTTGTCCAACTGGTACCATTAAAGTAATAATCTAATATCTACCATAAAATCATTGTTAATTAAAAGTTAATTAGGTGTTAATTGGAGTTAGAGTTTAGTTAGATTGTTAAATCAAAGGGTATACTCCATATGAGTAGTAAATATTTATTTAACTCATCCACCCACCATTCCACCAACATAAGAGCACTCCCAACAGTGAGTGAAAAACCCCTCACGAGTGAAAGTTAAGGTGTAAAAAAAAAAAAAACCGAACACTACATCAGTGAGAAGAATTGCTCTACGGTTGAGGAGATTGAAAAACGCACAAGACTTGAGGGGAAATGAGGATGAACAGTAACAAAGTGGGACCTACAAGCAACTGACGCCAGCCCCTTGAGTTTGCTGAGAAAGCAGCCAAAACGACGCGTTTTGTGCTTCCTGAGGCCAAAACGACGACGTTTTGGTTGCAATCTCAGCAAAAAAAAATTGAATTTGCTGGCAACTGACGCGCGTCAGGTCAGCCAATGGGAATGCGACACGCGTCAGTGTCAGTTAATTCAACCAATCAGAAATTTCCTCTTTTTCCCAACGGTAATATAATTTAAAACGGTAATAATGCCGTTATAAAAAAAAAAAAAAACAAAAATCACCAACGGCCATAAAATTTTATTCTCTATAAATAGACATGCATTTTGATATTTTTTGATATACTTTCAAAAACCCAAAAAATCTCCTATATTGTAAATGTTATATTCAGAAATTTTAACCGTAATTAATTGAATAAATAAAAAATTACAAAAAAAATAAAAAATTACAAAAATAAATAAAAAATTATTAATAATTATTACAGTATAATTAAAACGTAATTATAAAAATAAAATATTACATATTTTTAATTGTATTGGAAAGTTACATATGTAGTATAAACATTATTTAAAAAAAAAAGAGAAACAAAAAGGTGATGTGTATTATGGTGGGGTATAGTAAATAGGGGAGGATAAAGTGATGAGAAGTTTTTTTTAGCATTGATATAGTAAAAAAAACCTCTCATGAGAGGAATTGGATGGGAAGAGTGAGAAAGTGAATAGAGAGAGATTGAGAGGTTTGTTTCTCCTCACACTGCTGATAGTGGTCTAAAAGAGTAAGCTCATTGTTATTACACGCTCCCCTATGTTCATCTTCTTCTTTTTTCATTCTGACATCAAAAATAAATTAGCTCACTTCTTCCTAATTGCAATGAACATGAGTACTATGAATCTCGTCATCTATGCCGATAATTAAAAAGTATTACTAGTTTGCAAAACATCGTCGGCCACCAACTCGGGTTCTAGGAGCTTTAATTTGACATTGTAAGTCAAATAGTACTCTGAATGTAATTGCAAATTTTGTTGGTTAAGAAAATTGTGACTTTTTTTTTTTTTTTTTTTTACTTCATGTTTATTTGGCTTATGAATCAAATTGAGACAAAATTGATAATTAAAACTCAGTCATTCACTATCTGCGATCTTTGTTTAATTTTAACTTTTCAAGTACTCTAGTTTTCAGCCTTTCATTTTAAGTTTTAGTTTCCTATCAAGTATGGTGGGTAGCATGATTGCTTAATTTCCCCTCACTTGCATTATGTCTGCTTCTTTTGGACTCCATTATTGGATTTTCCTTGGTGAGTTTTCCTGTAATATAATGTTCGGTTTCTTGGTTAAAAAAGAATCAAAAACTCAGTCATTCTAAGTTTCAAAGTAAATAATTCAATCCAATTGGATAAATTAATTACAAAGAAAAACACACATCTAAAACGAAAACATAGTCAATGATCTATATAACTGAAAAAGAAAGCCCTACTACTTGAATAAACAACCAAAATAATAAAATCTTGTCAGTGATGTTCTGTTCACAAAAAATGGCCATATCACTGTAATTTATGAAAGGCTCATAGGCTGACTTCCAGTTTGAGTCAAAACAACTTGGCTTTGCTTAGCTTTCTTGGATTGATTGTTGGACTGTTTCCTGGAGTGTACCTCAGCAGTGTTGTCTTTTTTTTGTTGGACCTCCTTTACATGTTCTTATGTTGTGCCCAAAATGACCACAATTCTTGCACCTTATAGTTTTAGCCCTCTTTCCTTTTGGTTGTTCGCCTTCTTCTCTTCTTCTGTTTCTACTAGGCCTTCCCAGTTCCCACCCCTCTCTTTAGTGGTGGTGGTAAAATTTCAGGCAAGTCTTCGAAGTCAGGACATTGTGTAGGAACATATTAGATGCGATAGCGGAATTTCAAGAACATTTCCTAAACATCTAAAATAGGATCTCATGCATATAAATAATACGAATCACATAAAGTACTTAGATATACCTTTGATGCGTGTACTCCTCGTTAGCCTTAGATTGTCCTCCTTCGGAGATCCAGAACCTCAATTGTGATTCCTCTACTTGGTCCACAAAACCCGAGATGAATCCCACGTATGCTAGTACGGAAGAAGGAGGAAGAAACTTTTCACTCTTCTCACTTTTAGGGATGCAGTTATATGAGAAAAATTATACGTTGTTTTTGCTCTCTCTGTAATTGTATATCTCATAAACAATTACAAGATTATTAGGTCCTACATATGGAAGTTATTAGGTTACAAGATTAGCAAGCCCAACTCACTAATGACTCCTCACATAACCGCCCACTTAACCTTTATTGGGCTTGGTGTGCCTTTTCCATCTCGTGCTTTTATGTGTGACTTTATAGGATCCGATTATATTTAGCAGCAAGCCCATTAAATAATAGGCCTGCAAATCGTAGTTGGTTTCTAGTAAAACATTACGATTCCTAAAATAACCGAATTAATAATCTCCTTAATTAATCCTATATTATATTTAGTAATTGTTGTACTTGATCGAGGACACTCCTTCACATTGTTGATGATCAGTTATTGCAGCAATGTTATAGCCATAGGTTGCTTTGTATCTTTGCACTGAGTACCAAGGGCTTACGTATTTGTGAGGGTCAAGCCTACACTGTATCATTGCCCTAATAGCATGTCTGCATGGGATTCCTGTCAACTGCCATGCTCCACAAGCACACTTTTTGTGATTCAAACTCAGTGGAAACTGTGAATTATCTTCACATACCCTAGGAGCAAAGCATATGATTTATCATGTCCCCCAAAAATAGTCTTGATCACATGTGCTTTCAAGTTGTACAGTGAGGATTACTTCATGTACATGCCATATGTGTTATGCAAATGTTCATTCAAATCTTTCCCTTTGCAGTCGGGGTTCTCTCGCCCACTTCACGTTGCAAATGGGGTTATAAGTTTGTAATCCCCTGCAAGTGTGGAAATTTGGCCAAATCTTCTTGATTGCCCATGTTCTTCCATCAACCAACCTACTTGCATGCACCCTCCAACCACAACATTCCGTTGCATAAGTAGCAGTGTACCTCTTATTGTCAGCCCATAACACTGTGAGTGCAAATCCTTCTTGCACACAGTAGTCTTTCAAAGTGTCTTTGAAGTGACTTTTTTCAGTAAATATCATCCATTCTCTCAACTCTATTTTCCCAAATTCCTTCTCTTCATTAAGTTCACCATTTTTGTACAGTCTTGCCAAGTAGGTGTCATCATCCACAAAATCATACCATTGATCAAGCTCCCATGCGTCATGTACAACTAGCATGGTAATATCACCACCCTTCTCATCTGCTGCTATAGGTTCGTCTTCTTCAAAAACACCATTACTA